GATTTTGATGGACTTTTTAGTGGTATCTATAAATACCAAATTCATAAAACAATCCCATCCAAACCCATAAGATTTTGGAGGATTGTTTGGAGTGACTTTTCAAGTGCTTCAAGAATTTCCAAGTGAGTTTTTCATTTTTTTTTTCTATGCTCATGTCTTCTCCATTTTTTTTTTCTCTTGTTAATAATACTACACTACTACTTATATATAATATTGTACTACTATTCCCATTTCATTTCCTTATTTGGTGAAATTTCTATACGTAAATGATGGTGTCATTAACTTGCTTTATTTTTCTCTCCGTTCTCTTTAATTGACTTGTTCTATTTTAGTCTATTTAATTGAGATTGTTCCTCAGTTATATAACATAGAAAACACTTAAAATTTTAACTTTTTTTATAACACGCGTCAAGAAAGGTGAAAACTAAAATTAATATATATATATATATATATATATATAAAAGAGACAAAACAAATTCAAAAAATGATGGGAACTAAAAACATAAAACATGTATAATACAAGAACTAAAAACATTTCCTTCTCATAATTAAATAAATGTAGTTTAAAAAAAATACATGTGAATAAGTGTTTGATTTCATGGTATAAATTGAAATTTTGTCAATTTTATTTTGATAAGTTAAAATTGAAGTGTCATTGTAAAATAAATTAAATTTTTATTTATAATAATTTATTAAATTATTTTGGGGCCCCTCTAAGCTATGGACTCATAGCGATAACCCCTTCTATCCTCCCTCAAGATCGACCTTGTTTCGACCTTTCTAGCCTACTCTAAGTCTTGGACATAAAGTCCTATACCCTTCTTTGGCTTAATTTAGTCTTGTATAATGGTGTTCAAAGAAGAAGAAAAAAAGAAGCAAGCTCTTGTTACTAGATCAAGCATTGAGCTAGAGTATTGAAGCATGGCTCATGCCACCACTAAACTTCTATGGATTCAATATTTTATTACAAAACTAGGGATCCTATTCACCAAGCCTTCTCTTTACCGTGACAATCTCAGCCTAGTTTCATTGGCTTATAACCAATTCTCCACTCTTACACAAAGAAAATGAAATTATACAAACACTTTGAAATTCTAAAAGGACAATTGTTTTGGGACAAAATAAGAAAGCTAAAAGGACTAAAGATTTTGGATTGGGAAGTATAATAATTTGTACAACTAAGAGAGAAAAGAAAGAAAAGAGAAAGACATTTGAGATATAATAAATGATGTGGCCATGAGAGACAAATACAAAAAATGATGTTTTACACAAAATTGACCCAAACTGACCCAATAAGTTTATTTTAAAATTTTTGAAAGTTCAAGTCATACTCAACTTGACC